CTCTCTGCCATTTCTTCATTGTTTAAGGTACCGGGAGCCTCAAAAATCAGACGCCTATGTGTGTGGGTGTTCATGGTTTTGTCCTGCAGAGCACATTTTCCTAACTAGATTGGCTATAAATGCCCAACTAGGGAATATGCTTTTATCTCCACCACCACCACCTGGGCTCTCTCCTGATCTCCTTGCATCAGGCATGGCTAAGTGGGGAGATCAGCTTGAACCCGCTCAGGGCTGGAGGAAACAAAGCCGCTGAGCAGTTAGCACATCTGCGTTGTGTGTTTGTGCTTTGTTTATCATACAGCAGGCGATGCTGATAAGGATGTGTGAGAAGCGTGGTGTTAATGACAGTGCAAACACAAGGCACAGTTCTGAGCAAGTTAGCTGTAAATTAAACCCCCAGATCTGTCAGGGTTTAGGTTTTATAGCTCTTAGGACATTTGGTGTGGTGATTCTGACAAGAATTTCATCACTCACGTATGAAACACCCAGTCACGGATTCTAACATTTCCCACCAAGTGACTGCTTTATAAGATGTTTTTTGCTGATGTGACCATTTTTGCACAGAACAGTGTATTTCATTAGCCAGCTACCACAGGGGGCCCTTCCACATGCAACACGCAGCACAGCACCTACGTGGCTTGGACCCAGAAGTGTCTGCAGAGAGTGTGAAGAAAAATATTGTAATGGCAGTAGTTGTATATTTAATTTAATGTGTGTTTCCATTGATAGTAGTGATGTGGGGCTTCCTTTCAAGTGTGAGCTAAACAAGTGAGTCAGTTAAGAGGAAAATACTGAATAGATAAAAATACAGTGACTTGCTTAATAGCACAAGGCGAAAATCCTGAGCGTATCTCCAAGTAACTCAGGTTTTGGACACTAAGGGCTGGGTAATGAGCAGGAGGAAGATGGAGGCTTTGGGCTGGTTTTCTGAATGTGATGAGGCCACACTGAGCTGTCCTGGTGACCAGGCCACGCACAAGTGTGGCTGCTGTTGCTGCCCCTGGAGCCACGTGACACTAATTGGCCCACACAGGAGTGAGACCCTGACCCTTCCCTCATTAGCCACATGCTCAGAGCAGCTGAGCAAGCTTGAGCTGGGTCACCGGGGTCCCATGTAGGAAATTACCATTCCAGCGCCCTGTGGTCCTCCCATCACCCCAACTAATGAATGTCCCGTGGCGCTTAATGTCACTCCTGGGGGAGCTCAGCAGACACGTGGATGATCGTCTGAAGTTTTAACCCAGGAAGAGCCAAGTGAGGAAGGACGCAGACGTCGGGAAGCTGGGGACGCTCTTTCTATCACCTGTGTGCTGAATGGATGGGCAGCAGCAAGGTGCTGTGTGTGTTTGCCAGGCCTGGTCACAGGACTGGAAAAGCAAGCATGGAATAGAGAGAGAGCTGCTTTCACAAGCAAGTGCACTGTAGCACAGGTGACACTAAAACTTGCTGTCTAGGCTGGATACTTCCTGTCATCACCCCATGATGCAGGCGGCACAGTCCCTATGTTAGAGGCAGGAAACCGAGGTTCAGAAGTAACCAAGGAATCGCTTCTCGGCCTTTTGGCTAAGATCAAGTGAAGTAACCAAGGAGCCAAGGAGAGTGGGCTTCCCCCAGGATTACCATATTCTAGAAGTGAACACATCACCAAGTTGGAGGGGAATTCCACAAGATGGGGAGGCAGCTAGCCACTTTTTTTTTTGCTTTAAGATCGTTGGAGAAAGACTGTAGGCCTTCAGGTAATCTGTTTTCTTTTTTCTTTCTTTTTTTTTTTTCCTGTAGCTTTGGCATGTCCATAGTTTAAACTGGAAAAGTTCCTGTAAAAAGATGACTTTACAGTCAAAGTCAGAGAATGCCTTCCTTCCAGGTGTCAGAGCATGATGGGAAGAAAGGATAGCAGACTTTGAGTGAGACTCAAGAGCCAAAATTGTTAAGGAGCAACCCCGATATAAAATGGGTTGCCTGGCTATGGGTCCTCACCCGCGCGCTTAAAAGGGACTTATTAATACTCCACTGCAGGCACACACATAGGTTAATAAAAGGTTTATTCACAAGGGAAAGGGAAATGAGGAAATGTACAACTCAGGGAGAAAATAGGGAAATAAAGTCTTTAATGCGTCCTACCCTATCCGCCGACCTGGAAACCCCAAAGACACTCTGAGAGCTGCCTGAGCTGCAAGCTGGAGGTGAGCCAAAAAAAAAAAAAAAAGGGGAATCCCCCAAAGCCCACGTGTCTGGTTTTATACCAAACCTGGCTGCTTAGCCCCACCCTCAGGCTCTAGCAACCCTCCCTTTGGTGGTGATGGGATTTGTAGTTCCCAGCGTCTTTTGGCTTTGGTCTGGAGTGGGGGTGGAGTCCACAAAGCCTGTATGGAATTAGCTTTAAGACATTCTTTTCCCCCTAACAAAATGACCAGTCACTGCATCTTCTTTGACAAGAGATTGGATCCATGCTCCTCCCAGCCACACCAAAGTGTGGGAAATATCTCCCTGGGCCCCTCCATGGAACCATGGCTTGTCTTCTGCCCTGGTCCTCTCTGGAAGCCACGAAGCCCTGTGTGTGTCCACTTGCAGCCCAAAAAACAGGGACCACAGCCACTTGAAGCAAAGCACCAAGCCATTTTCTAATGCAGCCATCTGGTCCCTAGTTAGTGGAAGGCACTTGCCCTCAAAGTTTCTGAGTCAATGTCTGAGAAATCTAATAGTCCTAAGGTGCAAACCACAATAAACACAGGACGTCAGATCTAGATAGCATCCTGAACTTGCCACCTATGTGCAGAGAGAAGCTGACAAATTACTTAAGCTCATTCATATATGTGATGGTGTTAGGGGGAAAAGAATGTCCTAAAGCTAATTCCATACAGGCTTTGTGGACACCCCCACCCCAGGCCAAAGCCAAAGACACTGGGAACTCCAAATCCCATCCCCACCAAAGGAAAGGTAGTTGGGACCTGAGGGTGGGGTTAAGCAGCCAGGTTGATATAAAAGGCAGACATGTGGGCTTTGGGGAATCCCCATTTTGGCTCTCCACCAGCTCTAAGAGTGACTTTGGGTTTCCAGGTCGTCGGATCCGGTAGGACGCATTAAAGACTTTATTTCCCTATTTTTTCCCTGAGTTGTACATTTTCCTTATTTTCTTTTCCCTTGTAAATAAACCTTTTATTAACCTTTTGTGTGTGCCTGTAGTGGAGTATTCTTAAGTACCTTTTAAGCCCACGGGTGAGGACCCACAGCCAGGAACCCATTCAATATCGGGACTGCTCTATAACAATGGGAATGAAACCTCCTCTCGTGGTGGTGGTATCCAAACAAGGTAATGCATGGAAAATGATCGTCCCAGGGCTGAAATATTCAAAAAGGACAAAAGGATCTGCCCCTCACACTGTGTATTGAGTGAAATATGGGGAGGTTGCAAAAAGGCAAGAGGTAGCTCTGTGCTGTTATCTTATTTCTGGAGATTCCTTTGAAGAGCAGTATGTATTATTTCACATACTATATTCCTCCTCACCAAGCTGCTGGGAAATTATTTCATGAGGCAGAGAGGGGAAGGTCCTTTGAAGGGCCTGACAGGAAGTGCCAGGAGACTTGCTGGCACCGCCCACCCACCCCCTGTCTCTAAAACAACAGTCTTTTCATCTGACTCAAAGCATGTTTGTTTAGTCTTGGGGTGGAGGCTCAGTTTTGGGCTCCAACTCCTAAGAGAGCTGAAATTCCTCTCACAATGGGTTCTCCAGCACTGACCCTGGGGGGAAGTGATATGCAACTAAGGTGAGACAACTGCTGAGAACCAGGGCAGTTTCCTAGGGTGAGCCTTAGCCAGCAGCTGGAAAGAGGTTGGGTGGAGTTGACTATATTCTGAGAAGAAATGAGGAAGTTCGTGATGGGAGAATAGGATACTGGGCCATCTCCTCTCCAGTGTATTTGCAGGCTGACTGCCGTCACTTGCCTAAGCTCCAAAGTAGACAAATTCAATTATCGGTAAGAAACATATATTTTGCCACTTGGGCTGATTCTAGTTTGCTTTTCCTTGATGACCTCTGGTGGGACTGATGACCGTGAACAGTAAACTGTATCAGGGATTGAGATGTGAAGACCTGGTTCTTTTTAACCTACTGCCACCTAGTGGTGATAGAGAGGCAGGCCGTGCCGGGCTCTGCCCAAGGAGGGGATGGGATTGGGTGAGGGAATTCTCTTTCCCTACTACCCCACGCAGGAAGCACAGGGAGAGTGAGAGCCATTTCATTCCACTGGCTTCCTCACCCCTGCCAGTACTGAACTGTAATGGTGTTGCATTGTGAGGCCATTCTCAACTAATCAGCAGTCTTGGAGATTAAAAATAAACAAGCAAGGGCCAGAACACATGGGGCTTGGGCCTGGCCTCCCTTTCCTCCACAGTGGTTGCTACAAGTATCCTGAATGTCAGCTGAGCCACTTCATGTAGAGTTTGAAAGTGGGGACCTGAGGCCACACATTCAACTTGAGGTCTTCCTCTCTACGAAGCCATGTGATTTTTGTTTGTCCACCTTCCCCAGGTAACTCCATTCTGGAAGCATAGAGAGCGAGTAATTGATGTGGCAAATGGTCCCTATATGCACAGAGGAGAGCTGGCAGCAAATTTAGATGGTTCTGGAACATGTGAGGATCAATTAGTCAAGGTGGTAAAGCCCTAAGAGGGAAGCAGAGTCAGTGGTGATCTCAGCAGAGTGGATCGCTCTCAGTGGTCGCGACTGGATTCATGCCAGTGGGCTATGAGGAAGAATAAATTCACAGCATGGTCACCATTGCTTGGGGTTGTGGACCAAGCATAAACTTCAAATAAACTTGGTAGAACAAAGCTACCCCAAGGACAGTGATCTAGATGGGCGTGCTTTGGTCAAGAAAAGGCAAAAATTGTTGACAATGGGTCTGCAGAGGCTTCAGAGGCTCTCATGTCCCAGCTCGGCATCTTTACTTGGTAACAGGCTCTCCCTCCACCCCACCCCCAAGGCTCCCCAAAATCATCAGAGACAAAGCAGTCAATACATTAATGCGATCATATTTATTACAGTTTCCAGACTCCTCCACGACACATATCCAAAGCAGAACACTGCAAACAGACACCACTAGCAGCGATCCTCCCCGAATGGGAAGGCTTTGGGCGGACTTAACAATCAGGAGTAATTTCAAGACAAGATTACAAGTCATGTTTTTTCTCTTAGCAGCTGGTACATGAATAGTGAAACTATAAAGACACAGTCACCCAAGTTTAGCCTTGGCCACAACTCAGCAACAAGTCACAGTGCAGAGAGGTTTCCCCATAACTGCCAAGCAAAATGTTGATGTCAGTATGAAACCAGAAAGTACTTTTCAAGACATGGCTCACTCTCTGCTTTACTATAGGACAACAGGAAAAGAACTGGACGGCTGCCCTGCAAGCTAAATCACAAAAACAAAAACCAAAAAAAACAGCCAGATAATCACAGATTAAATAATTCCCCTTAAAACTGTTTAGACATTTTTTCTCCACAGCTCTAGAAAGTATCAGATATAACATCAGACATTTGCTCCAAAGGACTACAAAATCAAAGCAATTGCACCGTACTGGGAAGAGCTTTTAGAGCTTTCCTGAGGGACAGCTCCTACATGTTCAGAGAGAGGGTGTTTTTAAACCTTATTAAACTACTTTTTATTCTAAATAAATAAAAGATCAACAGAAAGTCTCAGGTGTGCTGCCTTTTCCCCCAGATCTCCAAGCCATCCAAACGCCTGTCTTAGAGGGGTGCAGAGAACTTACAAATACATGAAAAATACCTTAAGTACAGGAGGCCCAGGACCCTGATAGATGTCCCAAAGGCTCACCTGAAATCCATCAATTCTATTGTTGGGAAGTGATGGCAGCCACCCGTGCTTGGCATGTCAGCCAAAGAAGAATTTCTTGCTTTATGATCACTAAGGAAAGCCTTTTGGAAGTTATTGCTTAGAAAAACAGAGGCTGATGAAGAGAAGCTAGTGAAAAGGGGTCAACTACCATCTATCTGGCATGGGAAAAGAAAAATTAAAATGGTTGCAAAACCATTCTTTCTATGCCACGGTAGTCTTACGCAAGCCTTCACTGCCCCACGGCAACTGCTTTCACTCATTTTCAACGCATCAAAGACTGGGAGGCTTTGGGGCAGCACCAGCGACAGCTAGCTGTCTTTGAATTTTTTATTTTTTCCTAAAGATAAAATTTAAAGAACAATTTACAGAACCAATTCTATTCTGGGATTTTGCCCAGGTCAGCTGCTACAGGAATAGTACAAATAGAAATACAAACATCCATTCTTCACCAAGTTAGGTTTCTGCTTATTCTTTCAAAAGGGGTAGAATGGTATACCTGGGTTTCTCTAAGGTTTCTGAGGGTTAAGAGCAGTTCATAGCTCATGACTGGATAATCTCTAAGGAGTTGCTGCACTATCTCCCCATGAGGATAAAGTCCCTGCTGACCCACTAAGGGTACCCAGCAAGGCTTTCTATGCACCTACACTTCAGTGCTAAAGCTTACTAAGCCTTCTGACTTGACATATCCATACACAGAGAGCAAGGCACTGGCTGGTCAGAGTCACTCACTTTGGGCACTGCTAACTCTGGCTAACATCTCACAAATGGCCTACCTCTGTCATAACAGTGTCCCAGAAAGGAAGCATAAATGCTTCCCAAATACTAGAACCAACAACCTAAAGTGCAAATTCTCCTAATGGTAGAGCAGAATCACATCTATGGGACAAAGAAAGTTCTGGGTGTGAAACCTTACTTTCCATTCTTGATGCCTTGACATCACCTAACAGAACTGGATACTGCTGAGAAGGCCACAGCAAGTGCACAGATACCTCTATCAACTGTCTTGTGCTCACGTGCCTGACTACAGATTACTTTGAAGAACCAAGGGTGTGTGTTCAAAAAGAACTGTTCCTACTAAGTTTCCCAGGGCCCAAATTCCTGGAGAGCACTGAGGCTTGCCCGTCCCCAGCCCTCAGGTGAGGGTTGGAGCCTGCAGGACTCTAACATTCTGTTACTTTCCTTTTCTTTTTCCTTCTCTATGGAAAGAAGGTTCTGTGTTGATGACATTTTAGCAGCATATACATGATGAGGTCTTATTTTTTTTTCTTGAAAAATTTCAATAATAAAAGGCAATGAATTAAAAAAAATTACTTCTCTAAAAAATAACTATCATCTTTATACAAAACAGCACATTTGCTATATGGTACTCATTCCAGAATCACTGACCAAACAAATAAATTGGGTCATCTGGGCACATAAGTCACATAATTTTCAAATCAGAGTCAGAACTGTTAAGATGGGCAGAAAATTCATAAATCAATCTCTATATGGAAATAGAAAGTTATATGAAAATAAATTATATGAAAACAAATCAGATGATTTAATCAGACATTAGAACAGATTATATTCCTTTTGATTCCAAATTTCTACTTTACTGGGAAAATCTAGTACCCATTTCAGCTTCTAGCTGAGGGGCAAGAGGGCAGTAGATAGGATAGCCAAACACTGACAAAGAAGTAGAGCAGGGGTGCCTGATATTCGAAAAAGACAACTATTAACTGGGGAACTGAGATTTCAGACACAGAATTTGGAAGAGAATTTACACTGGCAGATTCCAAAATTCAAGTTTGTAACCTGGAACCTCTTGAATGTTTAGTACATCGGAGCTGTTCCTAAAGAATGTATTTTAACATAAAAACAAATAAAACAGAACATTAAACTCATTCCCCTTGGGGGATGTGTCATTCTTCGATGTGCACACTCCCTTTGGCATCATCACAGAAAGCCCCTTTAAAAGTTGAGGGAATTCTTTCTGACGATGACCAAAACAGGGTGGGGGGAGGTGGGCGTAGGGGGAACAGCAAGGGAATGTTACTCTCCTCTTACTGAGAGTCTTCTGAGAACTTCCATGGGCTATGGAAATCGTTCTTGAAGCTATCACTGCCTCCTGATCACAAAATCAGCTCTGTGAGCACTGTGGCGATCTCCTCCTAGGTAGCACCAGCCTTGCACATAAGACACAGAATTCTTACCAAGTAGGAAATAATTAGGAAACATCACTCATGGCACTTAAACATGTTTCGAGACTTTAAAATACCTTCCTAAAATTCTTTGTCTCAGTGGCCCTGTGAGGTAGGTGTCTGAGGGGAAACTGAGGCACAGAGGATTAAGTTGGCTCTCCTTTCATTGTAGGACAAGCCAGTGGCCCAGCTGGCAAAAGGACCAGGCACCCTAGTTCTTTAAACTTCATCCACCCTGCTTCTTAAAAGCTCATCTCACTTACACAATAAATATAGCACAGGAAACTTCTCTTTGCAAACATTTAATCTAGTTAGCTATTTCTTATCCTCACTTTCAATATAAGTTAATTCAAATAAAACCAAACATAAATGAATAAAATGAAAAGTCAATACTACCTAACAGTCTGTGTCAAGAGACAGCCTCTTCTGCACTGGGACTGAAAAAGCATCTCATGTGATTCAAGTAAAGAATTAGAGGATGTGGTGGGGCTCCTGCTAGTCCAGTGAGGCTGGGTCCCCACCGTGTATTGTGGGAACCTCTTAGGCCTGACACAGGGAGGGAAACTACCACCCCATGTCACAGCAAAACCACTCTGAAAGACATGGCCCAGGCCTACCTGTCAGAATGAGGCCTCCTAGCAGCAAGGCGCATGGGCATTACTTAGTCCATGCAGGACTCTTTCAAGCCAGACATGAAGGTCACAGTCTCCTGCCTTAGAGCTCACGGGATAGGTCACACTATGTATGGAGGGTAAATCACAGCTACATGCACTAGCACCATGCCACAGAAGGTAGAGAGAAGGACAAGAAACCACCACATGGGTATCTTAGAGTCCCATCTGGTATGCTGTTGGTAGAAGCGCCTCATGTAAGGGTCCCCACATTCCTGTCCGTAACAGGGAGGGGGTAAAAACAGCATTTGTTGCTGCTGGAGTAGACCACCTATCCAAATTTCACCCTTACGCAACTGGTCACCTTCTAAGATCTTATAGTGATTCAAAGACAGTAAATGGCATTTCTCCATCAAGAGACAATGGTGTCAACCACCATTCAGAGTCAGTTATGAGGTGGGGTGCAGGGCTCCAGAGCAATTCATGCTGCTACTCCTAGAATAAGAGCCATGTGAATCAGGGCCCTGCTTTTACAAATGAGGCCATTATTTTTTGAGGTGGTTTACACCTCCATGCTAGAGTGTCTATGGTGCGAATTCAATTCATACCATGACACTACTTGAAGTGCAACAGCTTACATCTGGTCTGAGTACCTCGAGCACTCATGGCACCAGACCAGATGCAGGTCTCTGTAGAGCTTTTGCCTTGACATTAAAGCAAACACCTACCCACCCTCCCAAGACCTGTCTCCCCTGATTCAGGGAACCCATCTCCAGAGGGCCCGAGCCTGGCTCTGTCCTCTGTACATGCAGGACCAGAGGGAATCATTCCAACTCAGTTTCACTGGGAGACTAGGGTACAGCAGAGCAGCAATTCATGCACTTTATTTCTAAAAACCAGAGCTCAAATGAGACTGAGCTGGTCACTGTGCAAGATGAACTAGCAGGACATTCTCGCCTCGAATGAAAATCTGATTTATGTGTCGAGTGAATACCTGCTGGTAATCCACTTTGGGCTTTCGCTTTTTCTTACGGGATTGGCCCCTGGAGAGGGTGGTAGCCCTGGAAAAAGTGCCTCCCGCACTCGACCCTTCTGTCCGTGTCGTCCTCCCCGACAGCTCTGACCTAGACTCCTCCCTCGCAGAGGCCTGCAGGGAAGATGGGACAGAGCGGGAGCGCTTGCGGGACTCCCGGTCGGTGTCTCCTCTTCCCCACACTGAAGCCACCTTCCAAGTGGATGTCTGCGAGTATCTGGACAGCGTGGAGTCTTCAACTGCAGACTTAGAATCTGCTTCCTTCTTAGAGGAGTCTTGAAGCTTTAATCGATCAAAGAGCTATAAGGACAGGAAAGACAAATCGTTTTCTCATTAGCCTTTGACATTCCCCCTTTCAATGGAGTCAATGGACTCCTTTTACTGTGTGCTTTTTTTTTTATTTTTAAAGATTTATTTTTACACAAGAGCTGGAGTATAGGCCAGAGGCGCGGGAGGGTGAGAGGATTCACCAGAGACAGAGTGGGGAGCAGAACAGGCAGACAACCGAAATACACCACTGAGGGGAGCAGCGGGCATGACAGGAGAGGTTTGCCACGCCATGTGGGAATCTCCTGGCCGGCCGGGAATAAAATCCACGCTGCAGAGGCTGCGGACTGTGGAGAGCTTCACAGTGCTGTACTCAACCCGCTGTGCCACTGAGGAGGCCCTACTGTGGTTTTAAAAGAGCTAGTAATGAGTCTTCTATTTCTAGGCATAAATCAGAAGCAGCAACAAATATGTCAAAAGAAAAAGAACCTGCTAAAATAGAATAACTGTTAAGTCTTGTAAGAGATAATTTGTTGCTCAAATACTATGCGGGTGAGAAGTACAGACTCATTTGAGATTAGCTGGAGGCAGGAGAAGAGATTAATGAAAAGCTTGGTCCAGGCACCCCTGGATGACTGTCATGGGGCTCTCCCGAGAGCAAGTCCCATCCCCTAGTCTCAGTGACCTCACTTCCCAAGCTGAAAGCAAGCCCACCCAAGGAGTTAGGGGTAAGCGCCTACCCGTGTGAGTGTCAGTGAAGAATCCCGCTCATATGCTTTACCCAGAACCGGCTTTCGGTAGGTCTCATCCACATCAGTTAGTGCCTGGAGAAACAGCCCAAAGGTTGGGGGAGAGGCAGAATTAAAAGCATGTTTACAACCTTTAGGAAAACTTTTAAAGGGCAGAATAACAGCTAAGTGTAGCAGAAATGACATTAACCATCAACTCGGTTCTTGAGCAGAAAAAAAAATGGCAACGGGTGACGTGCTCTGCGCAGAACTTCCGGGGTCACCAGTGAGACAGCTTGCTTCTATGGTAAGGGTCCTCACAAATGTATGGCAGAGGTCCTTACATTTCAGTAACAGGAACATCTAAGAGGCTTATTAAAATATAAATTCAAGGCTATATGCTCCTAGAGATTCTGACTCAGTGGTCTGGGAGGAAGTCCACGAAGCTCCTCTTTTAATTAGAAACCCTGAGTGCCAGTGATGCAGGGCAGCCTTAGCGTCCTGGTGAGAGGCACTGCCCCACCCCTGCACTCCCTTGTTTATATGTCTTCCAACAGCTAATGTCTTTTAATGGAGATGGCCCAGGGTAATACACAGATTCACTGGTGGATTGTCACTGAGAGGACAATCTCATAGAACAGCTCTTAGGATCCATGAATGCCTGGAAGAAATTACTTTTTAAAGTGTAAATCACCCTGCAAATATAAGCTGCCAGTATTATTACCACCACTGTCACCAAATATACTCTTAATCCTCTCCCTTTAAAGGTGAAAGAAAATATAATAAAATATTTTTCCCTACATTTTAGAAATGAAAGAACTGAGGCTCAGACAAGCCACCTTGCCTGGAGTCACACAGCTAGCAAGAGGAAGTGAGGACTCTGACTGCACATGGGTGAACTGCTCATGGAGTCAGAAGACCTGAGGCGAAGGGCTGGCACTCACACTTACTAACATTTCTATCAGGGACTAATCTTCCTGTACCTCTGGTCTCAATTTCTCCATTACGACATGAAACAGTAACAGACCTTCACCTCATTCATTGAGATAACATAGATAAAATCCTTAGTAGAGTACCTAATATACACAAGTGTTTAATAAATATTAGAGACTATAATTATTACCCAGGAGAATGCATGAAGGGAGATAAAGCACAGGAAAAAATGGTAGAGACGGAAGACCATGCGGAAAAGAAACAGCAGAAATCCCTGGAGGTCCCTGCTGTGACTGCCTCACACCAGAGCTGTGCTATCTCCAGCCCCTCTCTCCCGAGAACACCTAGTAGCAGCCTCTGCAAGGCTGGGCTTGGTGGACTCACACATGAGGACCACCAGGCAGAGCAGTTGTTTATAAAATGTTTTTCCCTCTCTCATCTATTTTTACCAAACACTGTACAGTGATAGCTCTTTTCTGAAATTTCTATACTTAGCACCATGCCCAGCCAAAGTGACAAGTCAATAAATATTTCTCCCAGGTACTGAGATACAATTGACATATATGACTGTGAAGTTTAAGGTGCATAGCAAGCGATTTGATATATTGTACAATGATTATGTGGTAAGGTTTAATTAATATCCAAACAGACAATAAAAATAGTATTTTTAAAAGAATGAAAGAATGGCTGGTAGGAAGTCAGGTCAAATAATTACCCCTTTTGGCTGGGTTTTCAGCCTTGGCACGAATGACAATTTAGACCGAATCACTTTTTGTGGTCAGGTGCTGCCTTGTGCAATACAGCTGTACACCCCGCCCCACAGTTACCACAATCAAAACTGTCCCCAAGCATTGCCACAGGCCCTTAGCAGGGAGTGAAGGGTAAAATCACCACCTTAAACACCAGTGTCTTATGGAAAGGGAAGCAACCGAAAAATCATTTTTGTTGTTGGTCAAAAGAGTGCAAATATTACAGTTCTTCTGGGAAGATATTCTGTAGGTTTATTTAGGTTCTTTAAACATATGACAGATTAACACCACAAGTTTCTCCAGTCCCCTGAGAGAGATTAATTACCATGTTCCAGAACTTGTCGAAGGCCACAAGGAAGCCTGTGCAGACGCCACGCAGCCCCTTGAAAGTGCGGATGTGGACATTCACTTTCACCCCCTCTCGGATACAGCGGTGGAGCTCACCTAGAGGGCTGCCTTCATGCACTGAAACCAGAGAAGAACAGCCAGCACTGCATGAGCATCTGCTCACACCCTCAGAATGAACCACCAGTACCACCCACAGCCCCAGTAACCCCAGACAGCCTCATTGTGGGTGCAGGAAGACCCAGGACACCATGGCCAGTACAGTCCAGACAAGGACAAGCCAGATGGGAGTCCCTCAGGATGTGGCTATCATTCCAGGGTTTCACTACCTGTACATCCTATATTCTGTGATGTCATTGATCTAACGTGCAACATCATTAAAAAAAAAAAAAAAAAAAAAACAAACAAACACCACCACATTAAATGAATCCATCAGCAGCTAGATTCATCACAGTTCTATACCTAAGCCAACCTTTCTCAGGATCATTCTCCTGAATCACATAACTAGTTTGAGTCTTTCAAAGAACCAAAAACCTTGTTCATACACTGACAAGAAATGAAGCATGTAACATAGCTGCTCTAAATACACGCGCTTCTCCAAGAAAGGCCCCAGGTGGAGCGACTCCAGGCACGAGTTCTCTGAACTCACTAGTGTCTCGTTGTACACAGTCATCACACTGGGAGCAAAGACCCGCTTGTCTGCCAAACCGGGACAGTGCAACAGGGCCCCCGAAGTGCAGGTTCCCCTGAGATTCCTGATATCATCATAAAGAGACTGCCAAGTGACAACTCATGGGAAGAAGGCTGGCACCATACATTTCAGTTTTTACTGTGATGAAGTCCTTCAGAGTTTGGGGGCAGGGATAAATCTTATTTTTACTATGTCATGTTAATTTAGCCTTCAGATATTAAACTTCCCAAAAGACACACACACACACACACACACACACACACACACAGAGAAATCAGGTTTGCAAAGCAAAATTCTTTGGAGATCACTGCCATTGATAGTGAACAAACAAAAATCTTTGTTTTGTTTCTAGTGGCATGAAAGAAGAGTCCCACACTTCAGCCTGAATAACTAACTAGGTCACTCTTGACCATATGCCTCACTCATGGGCTGGCTTACATATCATGGCAAGAAAAATTAATATAAGAAAACACTCTGAAAAGTATGTGACCAGCAGAGGAGAAGTAGGAGCTCACGTCAGAATTAATGTTCACCAAGAAGGCACAGGTGGAGGCAGATATAGTGGCCCTGGGGAAAAGCAGAGGACCTTCTGTCCCATCCTTCCCTCCAGGATCATCTTTAAATTCTTGGAATCTCTGGCATGTAGGGTGGTATTGATGCACATGTGGAGATGTGTTATAGACTGTGTTAGACCCAGCACTGTAAACAACTTTAGGCCATTATAACCACCATGTGAGCTTATGTGTAACTGTTTCTCTAAAGTCTGAGTTTCCTCATTCATTAAAAGAGGTTAAAAGCAGTGAATCTCTAGATTCATTTCAGGAATAAGTCTCTATACTTTAATTCTTGGGAACCAATCACAACACCAGTAGATTGTTCCCTTTGCTCATACAGATCACTACCCCAGCACACATGCTTCCACCAAGAATGGAAAGACCACTTTTTTTCTAATGTGGAAAAAAACAGGTGTACTATTCTTCTCCACACCCTCAAGTCAGAGAAAGGACAAGCAGGTACTTCAACAATTAAAGGCAGTCAGGTATTTCAACCCTTGCACTGGTATATTTCTCTTGATTTTTTTTCTTCTAAAGATTTAACAAGATGTAATTCCAGGGAGCATTTTTCTCCTTGAATGATCAAAACACCACACCAGCACCAACTATCAGAGCAAACTGCTATGGTACAATGAGCTCCCATTTCCAAACCAGAATGCCCATTCTGAATCTTTCTGGCCTACTCCAAAGGAGATGATTCAGACTTCTAAAACTTAAAAGCAACACAAAATACATATGCCTTACCTTTAAAGAAAATTATTCTTCTAAATCCCCTTCTCCTTTGCCTCTGCCCTTGGGCCATACCTTTCCAAATCCAGGTCCTTTAATGCCTCTTCTTTCTCCTTGCTCCTAGCTGTCACTAAATCCAGGCAACAGATTCTCAATAACTAAGACCTGCCTTTCCCACAACCAACAACAGAGTTCAGAGCTTTCTCAGATGACTGGCTTACTGCAACACTGCACTAGGTCCTCTCACTCACACCAACAGCACCATCATCACCACTGTCACCATCATTATCCGCAGTTACTGAGCCCTCTGTATGCGCTAGGCTAGGACCTGTGGTTAAGTTTAACTTCATACATTATTTTATTTAATCTTCACAACTCTAACACATGGGTACGATTATTTAACCTCATGTTGTAGATAAGGAACTGAGGCTCAGAACAATTTAAGGAATTTGGTCAAGATTACTTTCCTAGTAAACAGATGGAGCCAACTCAATACATGCAGATTGCATTCATCATGACCCAGGGCTTTTCATTTTGACAGTCTAAAATTAATAACACTACAACAGCCTAAAACACCAGTGATATTGGATAGCCATCAGGAATTGCCCTGTGTACCCTATAGGAAGCATTACTATGGTAAATGTTTTCATGTGTTACCTACTTTAACCCTGCCCACTAACAGCCAGATAATACTGCTGTCTTCATTTTACAGATGAGGAAACTGAGGCTCCAAAGAGCTTATGTAACCTGCCTAAAACAAACCAGCTAGAAAGTGGAGGAGCCTATGTTGAAAACTCAGTGGTCAACCCCCAAAGCCTGTCCTCTACTCTAGCTCCCCAAATATATTTCACTATCAGCCCCTAAAACACTAGACCTAAAAGCACTATTGCTTAGGAATCTACACCGTGACTCCCACTGTCTATCATAACAAAGTCAAAGAGACACTTGTTTGATGTTCAAAGCATTCTAGACCCATTTTAAGCTCTAGACCCAAATTCTGTTCTCACTGCTGTGGATGCAAATGCCCTGCAATACTCTCCAACCACCGAAACAAGCATGGGAACAACAGAATGCTCTTGCCTCTTCTCTTTCCTGAGACTAGTATAATACGACAAACCAGAAGTCAGTCTCAGCTGCAAATTAACTAGTTATGTGACCCTGGGTCAATAGTTAAGCTCCATGAGCCTTGGGGTTCCTCGTCTGTGAAGTCATATCTCAGGGTATAATGCGATCTAGTACATGTAAAGGGCCTAGCACATAAATGCTCAGTAACAGCAGCTACTATCAGCAACAATAAAATTATCATCTCACTAACAAAGGGGCAGGAAAAGACTTCTGAGGATGACAGAAATGTTCTGTATCTTCAAGGTGATGCACAGTTTCTTACATTAGTCAAAACTTACTTTAAAAGGGTGAATTTTGCTACAAATAAATCTCACCTCAATTACCTGATTTTTAATTAATTATCATCAACCTTTCCGTTCCCAAACTTCAAGACCCAAAATTTATCTTTTGCAGGAATTCCTTCCTGAATAAATCTAATCCTCACTCAGGCTGCTGTAGATTTTTTTTGCTATCTGAAGGTCATCAACTCTGTGATGTTTACCCATATCTTCCCTGTGTTGTGATTAAAAATTTCAATGCCTAGTACACAGTCTTTCAGACCTTGATTTCAGTATGGGAAGGCGGGCCTTCACTCTGGCATAGCAATACAGCAAAGCAATGCAGCTCTAAGCTAAAAACACCCATCATACAGAAATATTTCTTTTCCTTGACAATCTTAGTAGCAAAGCAATTATGGAAAATGTTGCAATTATGGAAAGTGTTTCAAAAGAGAAATGTTAGAAATGTTACAATCAGAAAGTTGGAGCATTTCAACCATCTAATAGCAAAAAGTACCGGAAAAATAAAGCCCCCCAAACTGCTCTCACTTTAGAACAGACATATTCTATCTTTGTGTTACTGCTGGGCCAGCACACTGGGGAAAACCCTAGCTTAAGGCAGGGATGCTCTGACTTGCTAATCACCCCACAGAGGCATCCCTGACAGCACACAGCTTTTCAGGTTTCTCTCTTAATAAATACATTTCTAGGAATGAAACAAAATATTCATTGCTTAGTGTAACCCTGCATTCCTGCATTCCAAAGGCAATGATTTACTAATGTCACATTCTAGCTATCAGGATACAGATGCTCTGAATGGCTAAGTAGGTCATTGTGTTCACCAGACAGATGTCAGAATTCCTGCCAGATGACAAAAGCTATAACCCTGGGCTGTTTTTATTACATTTGTATAAGACTTAACTCACACATGAGCAACCTCTGCTGTTTACAGCTTTACTCTAAGCATCTATTAGGGGCTCCAAGAAATTCCCTTGGGCCACTTACACTTCCAGCACTTAAAATAACCTGCGCATATGGTAACAGCAACCCAGACAGACATCTCCGGCACCCGGTCCAGCAGAGTGGCTGTAAAGCAGTGTTTGTGTTTTAGTGGCATTTTGTGCTGGTTGCATTCCCTGTGAACACATGTCTATCAGGGCCCTGCAGCCTTTCTGCTTACAGCCAGGAAGAGAAGGAGCGTCAGTGTGCCCGGGTTATGAGATTAAGTCCCCTGTGCCATCTGATCTGCTCTTCCCACCCTCCATCCTCTGAAACCCCCCTGGCCTTCCTCTGTAAGCTGGGGGCGCCCTCTGTCCGAGACAGTTCTTCACCTGTGCAGGCCCTCTCCCTGGAGCCCTTTTTCCAGGCGCACCTCCCTCCAAGGGCCTCCTCCCCTCTCCTGTAGCCCCTCTCTGCAGGCTTCTCTCCAGCTCTGCAGCTACTTCCACACACCCCATTTCGGCTCGCGGCTGCTTATTAGCTCAGCGGCCGGACCACTGCCCTCTCCTACGGCACAGGGAGACCCTTTCATTGCCCCAGACGACCCTCTCCACACACCCCCGGAGCCAGCGGGCTCAAGGAGAGACGCCGCCCCCCCACCCCCCGAGGCCGCAGACCATCTCCGCAGCCTTCACCCCGGCTCCCCCGACTCCGCGCGGCCCGGGCAGCCCCGCCCCCCACCGGCCCCCCGGGCCCCGCGGCCCCCGGACTCACGGGGCATCCGCGTGAGCACGTTGCGCGGCGCCTTTCTGCTCCGACCCGGGCCTGGGCGGCGCGCCCCGGCCGCCCCGTCCGCTTCCTCCTTGACCACCATGAGGCGGCGGAGGCGCTGGATGCGCTCCGGGTCCGAGGCGGGCGCGTCCGGGCGGCGGCGCGAGCGGCCCGAGGGGCCGGCAGCGGCGGTGGGACCCCGGGAGGCCGCGCCCGCGCCCCGCGCTCGTCCGCGCGCGCCGCCCCGGACCCCGGTCCTGAGGAAGCCCTCGTACTCGGCCAGGTTGTTGAAGCAGGGCGCGTTGGGGTAGGGGATGGGCGGCAGGCGCGGCGCGTACAGGGCCAGCAGCGGGTCGAAGCTGTCAGAGCTGACGTCCAGCCGCGGGCTGGGCGGGCGCGCGGGGCTCCCGGCGCCGGCCGGCCTCGCCCCCCTCTCCCGCTCCTCCATGTTTGAAAGGCCCGCAGCCGAGGCCGATGGGAAGGAGGAGCCGAGCCGCCACGGGGCGCGCTGCGCCGGCGCCGCCTCTGGGGGGCAGCACCTAGCCGCGCGGGGTCCCGCTGCGGGCGTGGCGCCGCCCCGCCCCGGGACCGCGGCCTCGCGGGGCTCAGCTCGGCCGGGTGTGCCTCGCGAGCCCCTGGGGTGTTCCTGCTCCAGACGCCGGGCTCGGAGCCCGGACCCTCCTGGAGTGAGCGCCCCAAGCGTTTCTCTGCGCCCAGGAACTCACCTCCTCCCAGCTTGGCCAGGCGGGAGGGCGTGAATGACCCAATTGACTCCTATTCTCGGTACCCCGCGGGGGACCCTACCCGGCTGGATTTAGATCTTGACATTTTCATCTGAAATAGCACCTGAGAATGAAGAGATGTGGCACAAAGAACGCTTGATGGGTGCTCTATGAACGTGAGCTAATTCAGTTAAGTGTGCACTGAAACTAGGACAGAAGCATAGGTCCATACCCTTAGCGAAAAGAAATCTTCAGTAACCCCAGAGACCTTAGCATTAAAGGAAGCTCATTATCACTAATTTTTAAAGCATGGCTAAGGAAGAGAGATGAGGACCTAAATCTCAGGGGCAGAGGATTTACAAGACCTCCTTGAACCACTTGTTACTTTTATAGCCACTGGTCAACAAAAGGTTTGTGTTTTTGATATTAAAATGATAGTTTACTCAAGGGGGAGGGAAAGGGGTCAAAATAGGAGAGGGAAGAGCACAGTGACTATGGTGGTGGGAGAACTACCAGGTCTACACCTGGGGGGAGAAACCAATTACTGTACAAAGATGAACACTATAAGAAAATGTTAAAATTGATCGTTTACTGCACACACAAGGTACAGAGGTGACTGTTATCCAGGTGAGGCCACGATGCTTCCAGTCACCTACAGACTTAACTTCCACCACTCTCCCATGTTAGCAACTAATTTTAAAACTGTATTGGCCAATTTTGTATTTTAAAGCTTCTTTGCCATTTGAGAATGCTATTCAGTGCCTCACAGAACAAGATGACAAAATACAACTGTGAACTATACACTGGAACAAAGACATGCAACAAAGAACACAGACCACCAAACACTGGTGACTGATGGCACCACAGGTATTGCCCAGGTATTAAATCCACCATATTCCTTTGCTCAAATCTCAACAAAAACCTCAAAGCTCCAACCCCCTGTCAACTCAAGGATTAAGTGCTTATCCCAATGTTATGACAAAATCAAGTGGCAGCCTTCATAGTACCATATAGTATCCCCAGAAGTCACATGGTTTTGTCTTGAAAATTTGTATATTAATGCCCACTTACCTGTATTTATTTTAATAGGCTATCAATATACTTACCATTCATTTGCCATCAAGAACTACATCTACTCACTGACTCACTTGACCCATCACAGTAAAATGAGGGCCTTGCTGCAGTATATCCATGACCAAAGAAGCCTTGGGGGTTGAAAATGAACCCCAATTCAGGGAACATGAAATCAGCACTTTAAATAAGCAATCCACTTACAGTGCTGCACCCTGAAGGCTATGAGCCACTGCTGTCTATCCTTGCTTATTATGCAAATACACAAACACACAAGTTGGCTTCACAGACTGCATTTCAGCGACAAAAATCAATGAAAAATTAGACCAAAGGAGCTGAAACCTGTTTTTCCCCCCCTCAAAGAGATTTGTATCAATTACTAACCATGAGTTCCCTATTCCAGTGGATTGAGAACAGGAAGGGGAAAAAGCCTGGACAGATGGGGTGTCAATTAGTGAGGAATGAGACCAGCCGTCACCCTTTCAAAAATACATTTTCTTCTTGGCTATGAATTCTGTAACGCAAGGCTAGGCACTAGGGAGTAGGCGGCCTCTTCATTAATCCTTAATAGAGCCAAATTATCTTTTTCCTCTAAAATATGAAACGAGGATGAGGCAATGTGAGTTCCCCCCACCCTCACCCCTGGGCCAGCAGCTCAGCAGCCCAGACCACCCCACCAGGCTATGGAGAGGGGAGGGGGGGCTAAGGACTTGGTATCAGTAAGTGGTTTAGTATTAGTAATAGCCCCCTTGGGCCACCTCCAACCCAAGGAGTACTGCCCCCTCTGCTCTACAATTCACATGCCATTATTCTGATTCTACATGCACGGTCTCCCTGAGAATCTTTTTTTTTAGGAAGTTCAACGGGAAGGTAGCCTTCAAAACTGAAGTCCCTAGAGGACGTGGAGTAATGTTTCTTCCTCCTCATCCATTCATTTCTGACATGCTTTCTTTCTCTTCTATATGCATGGAGTTCTCTTCCTTCTTAGAAAAAGGTCAGTGGCCTTCGAGACAGGGTCTCTGGCAGGAGGGTGCTACTGCTGCTGCTAACACTGCAGAAATGGATGTGCACACAAGGACGGCCAAACCTCCACTCATCTGTTCAGTCAACTCTGCCATTGTGGAGACTGGCAGAAGCCTGGGTGTTCCCTGAAACTCCTGAATTCACAGGCATCAACCCGTACCAATCTCCAGGTCTGCCAAGATGAAAGCAAGTTGATGGGCAGGCAAGGTAAGGTTTTCAAGGTCACTGGATTCTCTAGTTAAGTGAGGGAGGGGGCTAAAGGGAGAGGCAGTAAAACTTAGGCTCATCTTCTATCCCAGGTGAAGAGCTTGACAGTTTTTTTGTGAGACTTATGCCACGATCTAAAAATGATTCATTCTGCAAGGCATGTAACAGTTCGTGCTTTATAAAAATAGTACCAAGATTTTCTAAAAATGCACTTCTGCTGAAGGACCCATGTTCCAACACAGCAAGGAAGGTGTCTACTCAAAGCAAATGAGACACACCACCCCGCGCCGCCCTTCCTTCCCTGGTTCCCTCCCAGCACACTGCTCTGGGTGGCGGAGAGTCCAGGGCCACCTAATGCCAGGAGACTTGGGCCTCAAATGGTTAATCACACCAGGACTGAAAAGCCAAGGGTCAGCTGTCTTCATCTAGAATCTCTGGATGTTCCTTCCAGAAAGCATCCCCAATGATGTCACAGTGCAAGGGCACTGGCTTAGTCCGAGTCCGGGTCACTGCCATCTTTTTTCCTTCCATTTCTGCTGGCAGTTTAATTTCTTTTGTCATGACTTCATCCACCTATGGGTAAAATGATGATACAGTTAATTTATGAGCGGCTTTGGGAGAGGAGCAGATGTGGGGGAAATTCACTCTTTTACTTGACATATTTTTGCCTCCCTGGTGTGTCTGTGTGTATGTGTGTGTGCGCGCGTGCACGTGTGTAAATCTCAACATGCGTGAATCTCTGTACAATTAAAAGTACTTTAAAAAAGGTTATGCTACTGCCTCTATTTTAAGTTCATGGGATGGAGGAACATTCAATGGTACTATCTAGTGTAGGAGAAAGTATTTTTAAAAGGTTCTATGAATACAAAACCTCTCTTATCTAGGGAGTGCTTATGACATAGAAAAATAAGTTTACTAATTCTAACATTCTGTGATTCTTATTATAGTAGGAGATTCCAGATCACAAAGGTCATGACAGAAATAGAAAAAAAGGAGCATACAAAATAACCTATAGCATCTCGTTTGGCAAGGAGCTAATTTGTGTTAACAAATGCAGTCACATGGGCATGCAGGCCCAGCAAGACACAGCCCCTCTTCTGCACACACAGCATTACCTTCTGCCATATCAGTACAGTCCCTTTCCTGTACATCATCGGCTCATTATTGTAGTTGATGTTGAATTCAGAAAACAAAATCTCATTCTTGTCTGCTGCAAGAGTTCCCTGGGGAAATCAAAACAGATGTCAGCAGCTAAGTATGTCTTCTCTCTCCTCTAACCCTCCCTATCCAGACTACCCTCTGCTCAAACTTCCACCCAACAAAATAAAGAAGCAGAAGGGTTTTATCTTACAGACACAAATGAATCCGCACTTTAAGAGCAATTCAAATCTTTATGAATCTGCACTAATAAAATTCTGTAGCAAGCAACTGGTTTCAGAAGTCACAAGTGTGATGGGGTGAGAGCAACTAATAGTGATCGAGTTCCTATTCCCTACTAGATACTTTAGTACGCTTTCTTATGACACTCTCAAGATCACCTCTACTTTATATATATGAACTAGGAAGCTTGGAGTCTATCAACTGCCCAAGGCTGAAGTTCATTCTTATCCTTCCAGAAATACCAAAACCTAAACTCAGCTCTTGCCAACTCTGGACAGATCTAGCTGTCTTCTTATTATGGTTCTAAGTCCATTGTCATTCTGACAGTAACAGCAACCACTTGCAGAGTCACGATAACATACCAAGTGCTGTACTAGCTGTTACACGCATCATCTCATTTCAGCATTAGTCATCCCACGAGCAGCTCTGTGATTATATAACATAAGTACTTACTACATGCTCTGTACTACCCTAAGTAGTACAGAGTTTCACACCTATCATGCCACTTAATTCTCGCCATATACTGGGTAGGAACTAATCTTTTCCCACTTTACCTATAAGGAACTAGGGCAGAGAGGATTAGTTAGGCAGAAGCACCGTGTGAATCGTTATTGACCACTAGAGCCCAGATTCAACCATGCGCAGGGGTGAGAAACCTGAGAAACTTATTGGCACCCAGCAGGAAATGGCCCGGAAAGAGCTAGGTGGGACTGACAAAGAGCCTGTGCCCCGTCTGCAGAGGGCAGAAGTAAGGCAGCTACATCTCGATACGACCATGTGCAAATGCAGAGGCAGAGAGGACACCGAGGCTGAGGTTAAGTACTAACACATCCGGGGTCCTAGAACAAACAAGCAGCAGGGCTGCTAATAGTATGATTTTTATATCCTTTCAAAACAAAGCTGCCAAAAGAGCTTAAAAAGAATGCAAAATATGAAGACAGAGCATGCAGACCACAATCCTGGCGAAGTGTATGTTAGTAAGAGCTCTGTACCTGTAACCGCCCCTGGGCTTGCACTGGGGTTAGTCCAGACTGCTGTACAAGTGCCCAGAACACTGTATTGTAAAGATTATTGATGTGACCTGTGGGAAGAAGAGAGGAGCATGTTTACACAAACTCTTTAGTCCACATTCACCCCGGAATCCTTCAGGGGACCTGCCATAGCCCAGAAACTGGGCACATGGGGGAAGTGGCCAAGCAGAAACAAACTATTTCCTGATGGTTTTATTCTGTTATTTTAGTTATGCTTTACATAAATCTGTTTCCTTGTGCATTAAGCTTGGGGATGCTTTCAAAGTCATTTGCTTTACGTTATTCCCACTATTCCCCCCAATTCTTCTGGCAAACTCAAGATACACCAAATGAATAAAAGTCCCACAAACATTTTATAATAGTCGTGTATGGCTGGGATCACAACTCAAATATTCACTGAGGTCAGCATGAACAAAATGTGGAAACAGAGTAAGGGACCTCAAGGTAATGATAGGCCTGTGTGCATGCATATGTGTGTGCACGCACATGTTTGTTAAAGATAGTGCTCACTGCACAGGCTCTGTCCAATACTAAGGGGAATATAGACCCAATATTTTTGACAGATCTAATTTTTTTTTAAAGATTTATTTATGCATACAAGAACTGGGGTACAGGCCACAGGTGTGGGGTGCGTGTATGAAAGGATTCACCAGAGCCAGAGTGGAGAACAGGCAGGTTGACAGAAATACACTGCCGAGAGAAGCAGCGGGCGAGTCAGGAGAGGTTTGCTGTACCATGTGAGTCACCTCCCTGGCCCGGGATTGAACTTGTGCTGCAGTGGCTTTGGGTAGCTTCATAGTGCTTCGTCTTAACCCCTGCACCACCAGGGAGGCCCAGATCTCATTTTTTTAAAGCTGGAACTGAGGAGTATTTATAGAATCTTCCAATTTTTGAATTATTTTAAACTAATTTAAATATTCTGAAATACTACATTCCAAAAAAAATACATTCCAAAAAATATCATCTTTGGTGCATAGCAATGGTTTACATCTGTTACTTGGTTTCACTTACAATCGGCTTGGCGCCAGCTGAGGTAGTCCTTTAAGGTCTGGTTGCTAGGATACACGACAACTCTTCCATCAAAGCCTGGGGGATACAGAAGAGGCTGATCCTCAAAGTAATCCCGCCAATAAAACACATAGCTGGAGGCGAACTGGGAGGCCACATGAGTCATGAACTTACTTGCAAATGTAAGGCACATTGGGTGGAGCAAAAAAAGAGAAAATATATGATATTAATTCAATACCATGACAGGGCCTACGGGTGCAACAAAGAGATTACTCTAACTGCCTGGTCAGCCAAGAGATAAGACACCTTTCACCAAGAAAAATTACATAACTCGCCTCTCCTACCACTCCTAGAAGTAATTTACTAATATCTCATTTTCCTCTGTAGACTAATCTCATATTAATTTTCTAGGTTTTTTTTTTTTTTTGATCTTGGAAGAACCATACCAGTCGTCATCACTTGTCGCCTGTGAGTTTCAAAATACTGCCAAATCAAAAATCTGATATGTACTGAGATGCACTTTAATTAAAAGTTTAAACAATACTGCAATGCATGTATAGATCATCACTGGCTAGAGCCAACCTATGAATATCAATGTTATATTCTACAGTCTCTGTTTCTAGTCTTTATGTTCCATGCTAGATCAGTTTAGAAGCTAGGGGGGTGGGCACTGCAGGGGAAAGAGTTGGATAAAGATGCCCAGGTATCAGATGGAAGGAAGCATACTCTAATCAGGAAATTGACATATATCCTGCAATTGCAATTACCACACACACCGAAACTAGATGCTGGTGGGAAATATTCTGAAGGAGTTAGGTCATGGAATTACCTGGCTCTTCTTTTAAACCAATTGCTTTTCCTCTTGAACACAAAGCTGTACTCATCGCTCTGTCCGTAGGCAATGACAATGTCCTCCAGTTCTTCCATTACAGTTTGGGCACATCTGGTCATCAGGTGTAGAGCACGGCTGTCATTAGGTTTGGAAAAGTTGTGCTTCTCAGCAAACCTTCACAGGGGAAAAAGATGACAGAAAAGGCATGGATGGACAACAGGGTGCTGTTAACACGATAGATCAAGAGGTTGTTTACAGAGGAAGATACTGCAATAGAACGAGTTCAGACGCTCCACCAGCCACACCTAATCCATCTCCTCGGGAACTGTTTTATTTTATTTTATTTTTTTGCCCTGCCCAAATGAGAAAAAGGGTTGTATTTGCTAAGCCTTGATTCCCTTTTCTGTAAAATGGGGATCATGTATTTTACTTAGGAAAGTATCCTGAAGATTAGGAAAATATGACAATGATAATAAACCCGGATCCTTGGAAGTGTTCAATAAATGCTACAATAATCATCATTACTAAGTAGAGCTTAAATTAAATTCCCATCTTTTCTTCTCCTCCGCAATGCAGTGCATGTGGCCTGTTACTGATCGTAAAACACGAGAATACAGTAAAGTGCGGCAAAGCCTCTAAAGGCCTCTCGAGTTAGCCCTCAAAGATACCTAACAAAATAACTAGGCTGAAGAGCTATTTAGGCGCCCAGTAAGGACGTTCTCCACCGAGTGCTTGCTGGCAGGTGTCTGGTAATGGGCACCCTAACCTCTCACCAGAGGAGCGCCGAGCTCCATGGAACTACCCCCACCGGCCCTCTTACAAGCACTTTGCAACCAGCACGCAAGGTGATGCCCAATGCCGCGCGCTCATTGGCTGCCGCGTTACCCGGGTAACCGGGACGAAGCGCTCGAACTATCGCGGGTCGGCCCCCCCGGAAGCGCGGGCGCACCCCGCGCCACGAGCTCCCCGCTCACCGATGGAAGTTTCTGCCGTCCAGCCGCACCACCACCCAACAGTGGGCCAAGCAGGTGTCGTCGGCCTCAAAGTCGCGTACGTACTCAAATTTGCTCTTTGCCATGGCCGCCCCCGATTTCAGAAACCGGCGCAAAGTGGCGGAAGCGGCGGCCACGCAATCACGAACCCTCACGTTGCAAACTGTCCACATGCCCCGCGGAAAAAACCAGGAAGCCCCGCCCCGGAAGTTCCTCTTTCGCCGCCCGGCCGCTCTAGCCGCAGTGGAGGTTGGCATCCCTCTCGCCTCTCCCGGTGTTCCGAACGCACTTCCGGTCCCAGAGGGAGTGTCGGTTCCGTCCCGCTGCGCATCAGTCCCAAGGGTTTCAGAAAATTCCCTGCCTGACCCAGGGAGTAGGTTTAGTTATGGATTGCTTATATGCGGAAAATGTAATCAAGAAAATTTACTCTAGATATTTCCCTTCACGATCAAAGCATCGTGGATGATCCCTTTCAGTCCCTTTCCTCAGTGTATGTGTGTTTATATGGGGAACACAAGAAATTGGAATCACACTTTTGCATAGTTTATATATATTTTTCCATTCTTAAGTGTTTTGCAATGTCAAATATTCCAAAGCATAATTTTAACAGCTTTTTCATCATATAACAATTGAAGACCCCAGCTTTTGATTTCTTATTGCTGGTAGATAATAGACAATAAAACAATCTTTGTGCGATGCTTCGTGATTTATAAAGGTTTTTTGAATGCATAATGAGTTACTATTTTTTTTCCCCCCTCAAAGAGTCCCTCAAACAATGTAAAAGGAAATAGAGAAATCTCTCATCGATTCCTAACTCTTGCTTCAGGCAATCTCTGTCTGTTACCAACAAGTTTTCTGTACATCCATCCGGGGATAGTAGACATATCTATATCTCATCTACAGCTATACATATATCTCAAAATAATTTAAAGCAACAGGAAGAGAGGAAGGATGGGTGGGGGTGTCATAAATTTATGTCCTAGCTCTGTCACTCATTGGCTCTGTGACCTTACATGTTAACTTGTACTCTTTGGTCTGTGATTTCCCTGTCCCTGTCATTAAGTAGGGACAATTCCTCCCTTATCTCTGAAGTGACTACTGTGAGCATCAAGAGATGAGGGACACCACTTGTAGCTATGTGATGGGGATATATATATACAATGTGTCAGCATGATTCATTTTATATATAATATATATTATATAAAAATTATTTATTCTTAAAAAGTGAAAACATACCAATAGAAAGTATTCAGACTAATTCAAAGATGGGATATTACTTAAGATCTGACTTCTTCAAAACTAAGTTTCATGAAGAAAAGGGGGAAAAAAAGTCATGAAGTCAGGAAAAGGTATATTCCAGGAGACATAAAATCCAAATACAATGTGAACATTTGGACTGCAAAATATAAAAAAGAACCCCAAATTCACTGAGGAAAAGTTCAATTAGAAGACGCTAAACAAAGATTTTATTTCTTGCTTAAGTCATCTGTAGGATTCTGGTTGACTACAGCTACGCACCTGACAATTGTCTGATCTGCGCATTTTCCATTCTAAAACCAGGCATCACTGGAAAAGCTTCTATACCATGTAGTATATGGTTATAAAAAGGTAGCTGCTCACATTATTATATATGTTTGCTAAGGCAATATAGCCAAGTGCAAAGATTACAGAGCAGAGATAATGTCACCTCTTGCAGGAAAGGGACAAGTGAAAAAATTTTAACAATAATGCAACCTATTGCATTAATTGATAATAGGGAATTACTTATTATTAATTAATTGATAATAGGGAATTATTTATTACTTATTGATAATAAGTACTTACCACTTATTAATTGATAATAGGGAATTATTATTAATCTTCCCAGCACAGTGGCAATGTGGTTATGTATTTATATATAAAATTACATATATAATTTTAATTTTGTGAGATACAGTAAGAAAAAATATCAAAATGTTAGTAATTATTGAATCTAGTAGTGGTTATATGGATATTCATTATATTATTTATTCAATTTCCCTATATGTATGGGTTAATTGTGTTCCCCTCCAAAAGATGTTGAAGTCATAACCCATAGTGTTACAGGGCAACCCCAATGTGAAATGAGTTGACCTGAGTGTGGGTCCTCCCCTATGCACTTAAAGGGACTTATATAATGAGACTCAACTGCAGGGACACACAAAAAAGGTGAATAAAGGGTTAATTTACAAAAAAGGGGAAATGAAGAGAGGAATAACCTGGGGAGAAAGAGAGAGATATATATTGGTGAATGCATCCTAGCAGTTGCTCTGAGCTGGGACCCCAATAGCACACTGAAGGTCTGAGAATAACCAATCACCTCTCAAAGGCCCACATGTCTCTGATTATATACCAGGCCTTGCTGCTTAACTCCACCCTTAGTTCCCAGCAATCATCCCTTCAGTAGTGATGACATTATGAGATTTGTAGTCCTTGGAGCCTAGGATCTCTTTGGTCTTAGATATGGGTGGAAATCTGCGATTATGAGTTCCTTCTGGATGTCTTTCCATCACAAGTTCCCCCTTTTCACTTTTGGTCACCATTTCTATGGTAATGAAGGTCAAATGTGTGGGTGCTGGGATATAGCCTCAGATGACAGTTATTTTCAGGTTCCAATTTGGAAGAAAAACAAGAGTCAGTCACCAGGCATTGTGCAGTGTGATGAGAGTCCTCCATTCCTGGAATATAGTTCATCAGTCCAAGCCAAAAAAAAAAAAAAAAAAAAAGAAAAAGAAAAATCTGGAGGCACTAGCCAAAACAAAACAGCAAATATTATATCAAAATTACAGGAAGAAAAATCTTAAAACTGGTTTAACTTATCTAAAATCAAGTTCTCTACACCTTGATCCCAATTTTATCCAAAAGTACAACAAAATACTTGCAACTTAAATATATTTTCAGTCCACATTACCTACTTTTGCATAAAGTCACAGGGCAGAACACCAAACAGCAATTTTAGTTGGCTTTGTTAGAATACTCCATAAGGGATCAGAGTGAGCTGACTCCTCCTGACATCTGGTCCATGCAGGCTTCAGGAATAAGGTTGGTCTTTACCAGACTCCACCAGGGGTTTCTTCTTCTAGGACACTCTTTTTCTGGGTTTTCCAGACCTGCCAGTGGAAGCAAGCTTCCTCATCTTCTTTGGAGGTCTCTGGAACCCTACAAAGCAGCAGTTTCTCCTCTTCTTGGCTCAGCTCAAATTCAACTTCCTGGAAGAATTTCAATCAAAGCCATATAATGAAACATGTTTCCAATTCTCTAGTTCAAGTAGACAGAATTCGATGCAGTTACAAATGACTGGTCTCTCAGATAAGCATTAACAAGTTTATCTTTCCCATATTTCTTGCAATTCCCCCCTCATTTGACAAGTTTGCCTTCTTTATGACGGTCTCTCAGATAAGCATTAACAAGTTTTCCCGTATTTCTTGCAATTTCTCCCTTGACAGGTCTGTCTTCTTGCATTCCAAGGAGAAGGCAATTACAACATTTGTTGAAAAAAGCAAGCTGGCACCCACCTGTCTCTGTGCTGACCTGTTCCCCCTCCCCTTTGCAGACCCTTGCCTATCTCCCCCTTTTTCCCTCTGTATGAATACCCCTGCACTCTGCCAAGAGGAGGACATTTGTCTTTCAGACATGAGTTGCTGCCCTCCTCATTTGTTGACAAATTAAACCACTTTCCTTTTCCTCAAGCTCTGTATCCTTTCATTGGCTGAGGGAAATCGAGGCCGGCATTCGGTATTACTAGGAAAACCAAAAACCACATTTGCACTTAAGGTAGTGAAGTGGAAAATTACCAGGGGGCTTGAAGGCCAGGCTCTGTTACATGAGATAACCACATGCCTCATTTAAGCCCCCCACCCTGATGACTGTTCAGTCGAGCTCAGCAAAGCAGATGCTTATCTGGGGTATGCAAACTGTACCATTTCCACATGCTTTTCTGCCCAAGCTGGAATAAAAACCCACAACCTGTTACTTGGGGCTCAGTCCTTTGGGAAATATCCTGCTAAGTCCACTGGTGTGATGAATAAATCTCTCTCACCACCTCTGAGTGTCATCTGGTTTCTCTGCGAAATTGCCATAACATTTTTGGTTCCTTGACAGGGAAACCAACCACACCAGACGCTTTGGCCACCTATCTGATGCTGGGGCCATGTCCAGCGATTCTCCCTTCAGTGAATTAGGCAGCACTACCCAACCCTTGTCAGATCCTCCTTCCTCAGGTGAGGGGAGCCAGGACACCAACTCTGTACCTTACCCGGAATAGCAGAGAGGTGGACAGATGGACTTCTTCAGGACTTCTGAAAAGGTAAAGTCTCAAGGAGCCCAGTCCCAGTTCAGGCCCATCCCTATAGATGGAAGGAGACTGATCACCTCTCATGCATCCCTTCACATGGCCAGATGGGGGCTCCCCAGTGGGTGGACTTCTTCAGGACTTCTGAAAAGATAAAGTCTCAAGGAGCCCAGTCCCAGTTCAGGCCCATCCCTATAGATGGAAGGAGACTGATCACCTCTCATGCATCCCCTCACATGGCCAGATGGGGGCTCCCCAGTGGTTGGAATGTATAACTTCTATATGTATATGTATGTGCGTGTATAATGGTCCCATGACTTCAGTTAGGGGATCTGAATGGGCTTGTTCTGTGGGTCCATGGCAACATTATAAGGCATATTGGCAACCTTTTATGCTCTGGTCTGGGTTTATACGGACTCGCCTTAATCCAAGATGTGCCTTAAAGTTCCAAAAGGAACGCAGCCAGGCAAGTACGAGACTAGTCCCCTTCCTTATTCATTGTGACACTGGACACAATGGAAGGGACAGAGAGTAAACACATAGTCCTTAACTGTATGCTCAAAAATTTTAAGATGGGGTGCCATGAAGATTATGGGGTTACCTTGAACCCTAACAAACTTTAGACCCTGTGCCAGATTAAGTGGCCTAGTTTTCATGTAGGCTGTCCCTCGGAGGGGACTCTTGACCTCCCCACAGTTCGGGAAGTGTGGGGAGTTGTGATTGGGTACCCCAGGCCACCCTGACCAGTTTCCTTATATTAACCCCTAGTTGACGATCACTCAGGTCCCACACACTTGGTTCCACCCTTGTAGTGTAGGCCAGGGAAAGAGTCATGCCCTTGCTGCTCATGGCTGCCACAGTCCTCAGACACCAGC